TAAATATCCAATTCGCTTTAGAGGTAAAAAATGGTATTGGCCTCTAGTCATTCGTATTTTAGACATGTCCCTAGTAATGCATGGATTATTTACAACGAGGTAAATAAAGATGAGACCATCTCTCTACTAGATTTCAGGCGTAGGATTTGTTTTGCTTGGATGAAAAAATCAGAGGGCAAGGCAAGCAAACCAGGCAGAGGAACATCAGAAAGTCTTTTACAATCTATCAGGTTGTCTATCAGGTATGTCTCTCTTCGTCATATAGTGACCAATATTGTCAATATTGGTCACTATATGACGAAGAGAGACAAACAGAGGCGTTGCCAGGGACAAGATTGTAAAAAAAAAACCTCTTACTTTTTGTGCTAAATGTGAAAAAAAACTCTGCAGTGATTGTTTTATACCTTTTCATACAAAATAAGCTCTTAAAACTTAATATTTAAAACTGTTTATGGTCATAGTTTCCAAATACAGTTGATTTTCTTATAATTGATAACTTTCATTATTTTTTATCTTATGTCCCCATTGTCATATTTATAGGACAGGGTGACTCAGCATTAAAGGTAGTTAATATTTTTCTTTTTTCTTCATATTATTTTTTATAAGCCTATTATGAACTTAATTTCAAAATTTGACCAAAAAATTCCAATGTTTTCGATGCTTGGGAAGTAATGGGTTAAACATAACGAGACGGTACACGGACTGTTCGCCCAGATCTAGTAAGACACGGACGTAGTGCTTCATCCTCCCCCTCCAAGTCATTAACCCGCCCCGGGGGTGACTTGGACTTAAGTCGAGGCCTGCCTTTCCTCTTTACCGTTTGTACATCAGCGTCCCCGAAATAAGGTGTAAGAAGATTAGTATGGTACTTCCCTTTTAAGTTGCCTTCGCCATCTACTATTTCATAAGTAGTAGCAGATACTACCCTATTAATTTTAAACGGACCTATACGACGTGGAACGAACTTTTTTGTAATACCCTTTGTAGTTTGACTGATAGCATGGTTCGCAACAAGTACTAGATCTCCTTCGCGATATGAATTTTCATCCCGACGTTTTCGGTCAGCTGCGTCCTTGCGTAAGTCTTGTTGATACTCGTGTCTCCATCGAATTTCCTGGAATGAATCTACGAAGTCCCTTAAATATGGGGTAATCTGGGGAACAAAGTTGGCCTCTTCAACAATATTACGGATATCATTCAATATGTTTATTGGGGAACGCAATTCGCGACCAAAAGTTAGATAGGCTGCAGTATGGCCAGTAGAGTGATTTGACGCGGTATTAAGAGCAAATCTTACGGCAGGAACATATTTAGGCCAATCTTGATGAACTGATCATCAAATAACAAAGTTGACCAAAATAGCCAACATAGACTTCATGTCTCTATTTTTACATTCTGCTGGGTTAGCTTGAGGATGATATACTTGAGTTAAATTTTGAGTAATCCCCAGCACGAGCATATATATATCCTTATATATATATTTATTTGTTAATTGAAATCTTAATAACGATATTAATACAAATTTACGGATAATCTTATTCATCAATACTGAGTAGATATATGACATACAAACAACAAAATTTTGCCAACAGCTCATACTACCATTATTTCTTCCCATTAAAAACTTTAATGGACTTGTGTTACATATTCTCAGATGCATCGTAAAAGGGGACTACTTTGAGTACCTATTCCAAGTCTAATGGCTCAGTCAATGTAGTCGACGGAATATCTGAGAGAACAACTAATTGTTCAATCAAACAATGTCCGACCAATAAAAGTGCACAAAGTATCACAGAAATTACCCATAACCCGCAAATGGATATCATCGACCAATGTAAATGATACACAACGCTGTAACATTTTTCTAGTGTTTTATTTCGGTGGCTTCATGTGCGAATTCTAGTTGATATCTTTAAAAAGTTGTTAAAACGTTACACAAGATTCATTCTTCTCTTTATCATTATCAGCCCTTTTGATAAAGGAGGATGGGCCATGACCCTCCACGTTGGCCCAATGCGGATGGGAGAGTATTAACGACAGCAAATGTAGCTGGGACCAACGGAATACCGTGCCTTCCGAAGTGCGGAATTTATTTATTTATTTATTTTTAGGAAGATTTACAGACAAATATCGACATTATGTCACAAGGTAAATTATTCCGATGCTAATTACAAATCTCCACAAATAGGTTATAAATTAAAAGTTAAAAACCTAGAGGACATTACATTCCTACAATAAAAACAACACATCTATTAATCGTTGTTATTATCAAAGAAACTGAGACTCAATACTTTTATACTTAGAATAGCTCGAGATAATAATTTTTTGGTCACCCATCCCGTGACCGACCCTTGCGAAAGTTGCTTAACGACAACGATCGCGGGCTGCGGCGCTTATCCACTATGCCACCGTGCTAGTTATTCTTCTCTTGAAAAGGAAATAAAGTGATATTTCATAACACATCTACGTAATCCATTGTAAAAATATGATAATTCATGTAATTTCTTTTTTTGTAAGTGTATTCTCTGCATATGATCCGTAATTTTAAGCGCAACCACGATTGTTTCAAGTTAAAACTGAAAATCAGAAATGCAAAGCTTTTATTGAGTAGATTTCTAATGAGATTTCGTCGATCATCATCATCAGGCCTTATTACGTCTCCACTGCAGAGGCTCAGGATGGGCCATGGGCCGCCACGCAAGCCCATTCGAATCGAAGGATATCAACGACTGCAAATGCAGCCGGGACCTAAGGCTTAACGTGCCTTCCGAAGCTAGAAGTAACTCGAGATTCCAAGTTTTCCAAGATTTTTCACATCGGACGTCGTTTGTTACTAAAACAATACCAAAGAGATTTAAAATATGATTTACATCTCATTGGTTACGTAAAATGTGATCTAGTAACATGAATTGTTCCAATAATAGTTGTTATTGAAGCGCATTGATCGGTCATAAATACGCTAACGTGACGAATTAGCAGAATTAGGTAAATGTCAAAGTAACATTTCAATTAGTATTAGCTGACATTATGTAGGTACAGAGATAGCTAAATCTTCTGCTCAGCGATATAGAATATTTAAAGAGCGCAATTATATTTAATTATATTTTACATGCTTATTAAGCTAAAATAACAAAATACATTGCTTATAAAACGCGTTATCAAAAAAAATATATGTATGCATAATAAATCATTTGATTACTTTGTAAAATAAAATCGATGAAATGCAGAAATTCGATATTTTAATAGTCGTGGGGCAAAACTGCTAACGGACGACAAACAGATTCTGTTAATCTAATTCCAAATATAATGAAAAGAGCACAATATAGAATGAAATAGGTACTTATATATTTAAACAGCGGATGGTCATATGATTTGAAAATGTGGGTATAATTTTTTTTATAAAATGCCGTATTTTATACAATACGTTAAATGTGAAATGTCTCACAAGAATCGTCGAAATAAGTTGGGCTCATCGATTACTTCGAGTCGATTCTTAATGAGTTTTTTTTTGTTTTCATTCGAGGTACAGAACCCTAAAAACAATGTTTTAAAACTGTCATCTCAAATCATGAACATACTCCCAGTAATGTATATAAACATACATATATGTGTTTATTTATATTAATATATAATATGAACCATGTATGAACACTAACAGATTTTTCTGCTTACACGATAACTTCTATGTTTGATCTATGCTATTTATTTAATAATAATTTTATGCTATATCTAAAATAAAAAATAATAATTCAATAAATGCTCTAAAAAAGAGAACTGTCCGAGTTATTGGATTTATAATGTTTTTAAACTCACATGATTTTTATACATTATAATTATATGTAACCGGGTCTTGTTCGTGCATTATTTTTTATTGGATTTAGTATAAAATCAAATTGTTTATCCTAATCTTTTCAATAACCCTACCATTTGATATCCATATCATGACAATGAAAATTTAACTAACAATAATATATTTAAAATGATGTTACCTACTTAGCTTACTATGCATTGACATTGTCATTTAAACTAAATACAGAATAACTATTTTAAAATTCAGTAAGAAATAAAACATGTAAAAGAGCCGCCTGAAACCTCAAAAGACCAAGGTACTTACACTGTTTCTCCGAAAACGAAATTTCGAATAATTTAGAAATGTTCTTATTATTAGAATACCGGTGCGTCAAAGACGTTACTTTAAATTAAACTCGTTAAATTGTAAATTCTCAAAAAAGAGTTGAATTAGTGGATCTAAAATGTATGAACTTTAATTTTCAGAAGAAACAGAGTAAGTCTGGCACCCAGCCGGACTCAAAAGATTTCACAATAATAATAATTCATCAGAAAATAAAGAGAAGGCCAGGTGATTAATGTTATTAATAACTCACACAAAACTTTCTCATTTATTTCCTTGAGTACATTTTCATTATGAGTATATTAAATAATTGCAAGTTAACTATAAGCTTTTAATCCTAGTTTGTCTGTTATTATGTCAAACACAGATTGTTATAAGAAAATGACTACATGAATTTAGCAAAAATAATATTTATTTAGTTACTATATGATAAAAATAATATAATGTCTATGTTGATTGGGTATTAATATAATCTTGATAAAAAAACATTATTTTACATAATTTTGTATTCACAATATCTATTAATAGCAGAAAGATACTTAAGACATCACAAATATTAATTATAATTTTTCATATTTTATTTGTAAAAAGAGCTATATACTCAAACGTATTTTTTTAGCTTTAAAAACCATAATCATCATTTAAATACACAATACTATTAAAAAGGATATTTTAATCTTGTCATTAGGCTTAACAGACAAATAGCAGACAGCCTTCGCATACATTCTAAAACCACCTTAAACGTATATTATGCTTTATTTTCAATTCATATTATCATTGGTCATAATTTTCTTATTATTTTCAAAAGAGGTTCAATGGCTTTCATACAATTTCGCTTGGAAATGTAGGGTGGCTGTCGGTGGAAGATAGTATCGAGAGTGCAGGAGACGAGAGCGCACGCAGTTGCCGTCACCGCCGACGCGCCGCCGTCGATGCGGCGTTAATCCCGCCTCGAATAAAATATCTACAAACAAATAGTTGAAATTAAAACAACTAATTACGTGTACCTACGACTTAATAGTGAGTATTGAATAGTATGGTGACATGGTTGAATGACTTTGTGCGCGAGTTATAAAGTTTTTAATTGTGCTTTATGAGTTTAACTTTACTCGGATGTTTCTTTTTATTTAAAAAGGTAAGTTGTTCAATTTAACTATTGTACAAATACCCAATATTTATTTGTCAACAAGACCTTAAAGTATAAAACCTTAAAGTATAATATAAGAAAAACAACAATAAATTCATTTTTTAAATTATAAAGTCGATGTAGAAAACATTGAATTTTTTCCAAGTTACATTAAATATGCTAAAAATTAGTGCATGAAATTTACATTATCGTGAAGTTCATAAGAAACACATATTTAATGAATAAACTGAGAAATCAATATAAATTCATTATGAATAAAAAAATAATACATTTGTATTGGACATAACTAATAGATATCAAGAAGTGTTGTTAGTCAAGAGCACTAACCTCGGTAAGCATTTTTATTTATTTTATATAGACAAACACTTATATTTTTTCGGTAATACAAACTTAACCCATGTGTAAATGCATAAAAAATTGCGTTTCATTACGACTAAGACATTCATGGAAGGTTTCTAAGTGCTTTTGAACAATCAATGTAAAATATCCAGGGGGCCAATTCTACTAAATAATTTTTATCCGTCAGGGGGCTAATTTTATCCGATCCGTTTTCGATTCGATTAAAACAAAATTATTTAGTAGAATTGGCCCCCAGTAATGATCTAACTGCGCTTTGTTAAAACTAAAAAGTAGATTTCCCACGGAGGCCTACCCATTTTTTTATTGACACAAGTTTGAAATATTTCATTCGGTTTCATTTATTTAAATAATAAATACACACTTTGACATTGCAGTAAATAAATTACAAAAATTAAACATAAATAATTAATGTAGATAATATTTGCTCGTCAAAATTACTTGTATAATATTGTAAGGGTAATATTCTAGGACATCGATTTAAATCTCATGTTATATCCATTGGATGTGAGCCTCATACTCATACATCTGCTGTCCTTGTAATTTTCTTTACATTTATATATAAAATTACCTTATAAACATAACAATTAATCATTTTGACATTTTGTAAAAAAAAAACCAGGTTTATGTCATTTATACCGCCAGAACGCGATGTACCTACAAAATTAAAAAAAATCCTGTTTCGTTAATATTTTGTTAAACGTTATAAACGTCAAGTTTATATGCGTCATTGTCACTTGTTAATAAACTCTACAAATGTAATAGCATATCAACGTCTACGAAACAAATTTCATCTGTGTTTGCATCGTAATTGAATTCTATCAATTAATAAGTGTATCGAGTAAAGAACACCAATGTTAAAATAATAGTTTTTAAACAGTTTACGTATAAAAAATAGACATATAGAGACACGAGAAAAATAATATTGATATTATGTACGTATACAAGAAAGAGAGAGAAAACACAAATAACAATTATTGAATACCGTGTGGAGGCCAATTAGGTCTCCGTCTCAGCCACTGTCTGTCATTATGTGACGTTTGACAGGTGTTGTGTGTTTATAAACATATGTAATGAATAACATACATACATACAATGCATCTATAGTTACATTATACAGAGGTAAAGCTTCTAACTTTGTAGAACATATCAAATACTGATTCAATCATGAAAATTCCTTTACCTACGGGAGCTACATTATACGAGGGTGACACAAACTATAATCTAGGAGGGTTTTATAGTATTAAATATATAGAATGCAAATGAATACAAACGGATTAAAGAAATAATAATTCTCTTCAAAAACCTTAGACAAAACGAATGCAATTTAGAGTAAACCATATAGCAATTACTATTAGCGCCGCCAATATTTTCTCGTTTTTCTATCAATGTAGTGTCAACAGTTTTTCACGAACTTACATAACTTAAAGATATAAAAAGCTCATATAAAATACAGTGATTTTATTAACAAACCTAAATGAAAGTGAGTAATCAAAACTAACAAAATAATTTTGATTTTATTGCAACTATGCAACGGCAATTGAAAATCAGGTACATTAAAAAATAACCTTTAAGCGTGTTAGCTGGTGCCTAGTTGTTTTAAAGGTTATTTTTACGGAAATTTTGACTTACGGAAATTTCCAAACTTGACAATATAGTCAATTTTTAATCGAACCAAAATGACAAAAAGTTTACACTTGAGAATATTTGTATCATCATCATCATCAGCCGGAAGATGTCCACTGCTGAACATAGGCCTCCCCCTTTGAACGCCATGACGGACGACATTGCGCCAGCTGCATCCAGCGGCCGCCCGCGACTCGGACGATGTCGTCCGTCCATCTAGTCGGGGGTCGACCCACGGTCCGGTTCGTGGTCTCCACTCGAGAACCTTTCGTCCCCATCGGTTATCGGTTCGTCAAGCGATGTGACCTGCCCACTGCCACTTCAGCTAACAAACTTTGCGAGCTATGTCGGTCACTCTAGTTCTTTGGCGAATATCCACGTTTCGGATCCTATCGCGCAAAGAAACCCCTAACATAGCTCTCTCCATGCCTCGCTGAGCGACTCTGAGCTTCTCTAAGAGGCCAGCAGTTAAGGACCACGTTTCAGTGCCATAGGTAAGGTTTCGGTGCTATAGGTGAGAATATTTGTATGAAGTCGGATAATGACTTAGTTGTTTACCAAAGAAAATATGTACCTACTACGTCATTAATAATTCTATAATAAGAGATGAAAGCAAATTCGTCACCCGAAAACAATTCTAATCACTCCATTGTGCATTTTATCCATATTTTGTACAAGGAAAAGTCAAAAAGCGTGACCAGTCGCCTGGGAGAGTGCTAACGTATCCGGAGAACGATGGTGCGTTACCGTATGACATAATACACTTGAGATTCCCCATTATAATATCAGTTTAATGATTATAAATCTGAGGTCATGAAACATCAATATCATCAAATCAGTACTTATACTCAATGTAGGTATGGGCTTGATAAAAGTAGTTTCTAGAGGGAATTCATTTACATAGCTCGATTGGGTCCACATGCAGGGTATGTGTGTTTTCTGTGACTCTTTTCATTGGCCGGGCCAGTAATTGTTTTATCGACCCAGTCAATCAATGTTAGTCATAAGATGAATTGATTTTTATTTTATTATTAAAATATATTGATGACTTATTTTACTATTTAATTTAATATAAATGGAACAATTACATCAAAATACATACAACAATTCAGTGAGATAAGATGGTGAGTAAATTTAAACAGATGTTTTTGTGGAAGGAATGCGATCCTGTCATCTCTTTCCTATGTACAATTATTTTTATCTTAGTTTATCATCAAAACTCCAAAGTTGGATCAAAACATAAAGCATCAACATTTTAATGAAATAAAAGCTTATTATACTACATCGTATTAGACTGTAAGAAGTAGATTCTTTTGCTTTTAATTAAACGATAACAAACAATGGACAAATTGTGCCAAACCACAAAAGATTAGCACAGTGCGTTATTAAGTTGTACCGATTAACTACTGAACTAGCATTCTTAGAAAGTTCAATAGAATCTTTGCGAACGCAGATGGAACAACGAATTCTCTAAGACTGTTTGCACTAAAAGTATCTAATAGAGTAGGGATAGATTAAGCATTCGCTCGTTTGGTTTAAATCAAATTTTATACAAACAAAATGTACAGTCAGCTGTCATGTAGTCAGCTGTGTGTTCGCCGTTTTTGACTACCAGTAACATCCCATAAAATGAAACCATAAAAGGAACAATAATTCTCAAGAAACAATAGACGATATTAGTGCCATTATTAGATAACGAAGCATTAATTAGAGTATGCTAGTCGAGTGACATTGAGGAAACCAGATGCCACGACTGCACACCAACACACTATATCTCAAGGCACGTAAACGAAATAACATAATACTCTGGTAAATAAATATAATAATTTTAATGATGGAATTGAAACGCATTTTATTACATGACTGCCCAAATAAAAAGTGTTTTGTGTTAAGGGTTAACCCTTTGCCTGTAAGGCAGAAGACCCGGTTTTGGCGATTTCGAATTTCAAAGCCTTCTAACTAAGCGTGACGTGAACGGTTTTTAAGTGTTACATTATAGCAAAACTAACAGCGTTAGCAGCTATGATATGTTAAGTTAACTGAATAGTAACTCTTAAAATGGCCATAACTGGGTAGGTAGTAATATAAAAATGGCCACAAACCGGGGTCGCCTGACCTGTGTATGTAATACAGGGTAGACGACCCCGGGTTGTTTGTTTCCTTATTCCAGTATATCTATTGAAAAGCTTAATGAATATAAATATTCATGTAAAATGTCTTTAAAAAAATATAAAATAAATATATTTCTACAATTGTAATATACATGTATAAGATTAGGGGTCTTGATGAGAACATTCCAAAAATATATACTTTGTACACATTTACTATTCACTAAACGAAATGAAATTAAATAAAATCGTGTTTTTAAAATTTAGGAACAGTATCTGTAAATTCGATAAATAAAAATACCTACGTACATACTTCGTTTATATTTTAAAGTGAAGTGAAAATAAGACGTTAGATTATACGCTGAAAGGAGGAACGTATGTTTCTCTTAAGAAGGTTTAACATGAATTAAAGATTTCTTAAATAACTTAATAATTATGTACATATAAAGTGAGCTTATTATCCAATTTAAAAAGTTAGGAGATATTCTGCCATTGATTTTAGGGATTCATCCAAAACTCTGCAATAGTATAAAAAAGGGTTACTGGATTTTTTATTATTTGTAATCATTATCATCAGCAGCAGCTTATTAATATCCCCACTGCTGGGGTACAGGCTTTCCCTGTGGATGGAATTAAATCGAATAGGGAGAACGGGCCATAACACACCACGTGGGTCCAGTGCGGATTAGTAGCTGTTAACGATAGAAAATGAATTTTTACTGGATGTAGTAGTAAACTTTTCTATATTTCTTTCGGGTCTGGATATTGTGTTACGTTCGTTATCTCAGATACTCCATAATACGGGACCTTAAGCTACTCCTCTTGCAGTCTGAGCAATGTATGTGTTGGTGTGTTAAAAAAATGTTTAAAAGGTAAACAATAGAGAAAAGGTGGAAT